AGCATCACTGCGCTCCCAGCACCGCACCCTCCCAAGTGTGCCACGGGCTCAGCCCCAATATTGGCAATTGTAAACACATGGCCAATCTTGTTTAATCTGTATCCCTACCCTTTGCTTCCACCCCAGCAAATTTCAGACATATCACTTTCTCAGAGTTTCATTATGTATGGCCAAAAGATAAGGACATTAAGAACACAACCACAATATTATTATTACACAAATTCCTTAATATCAAGTGTGCAGTTAATGTTTGTATTAGTCTTTCTGTTGCTTATAACAGAAATATCTGAAACTGGGTAATCTGTAAATAAACAATATTTATTGCTTATAGTTTTGGAGGCTGGGAAATCCAAAGTCCAGGGAACACATCTGGTGAGGGCCTTGTTCTTAGTGGTAGCTCTACAGCAACACAGGATATCACATGGTGAATGGCTTGAGCAAGAGCGAGCTCACCTGCTCACTGGCTGTCCTTATAAAGCCATCAGAACCACGCCCATTACTCCATGAATGGATGTATCCATTCACAAGCATACAGTCCTCTACATAAAATCTAATCACTTCTTATAGGCCTCACCTTTCAATTACTATAATAGGATTTCCCACCACCTTAACACTGTCAGAGTGAGGATTAAGTTTCTGATACACAAGCCTTTGGGGGATACATTCAGCCCATACCTGTTCTAATTTTCTGATGATCTAGAATGATTTTGACAATTTATTCAATTAGGGATCCAAATAACCTTCATAAATTTCAATTGGTTAATGTGCTTCTTATGTCTCTTTTAACCTATAGGTTCTTTTTTCTTTCACCCTTCTCTTTTTCTCTGTGTCTCTATTGTTGAATAAACCTGGTCAGTTGTCCTTGAATTTGCCACAGTCTGGACTTTGCTGATTACAAGGCTGGGTTGTCTTATGTTCCCTTGTGTCTTATATTTTTTGTAAATTGATCATTAGAACTAAAGTTTTTAACAGCCTTTTTAACAAGTTAACAACGATCTTGCAACAACTGCACTGTTGGTGAATTGACAAGCAACACAAGACAATTTAAAATACAATTACAATACAGTTTAAAATTGTTCATCCTTACAATAGTAAAACCAAAAGTTTAAAATTAGACTGAATTTTATCGATTTTAACTTAGACTACTAATGAGAGGTGGGGAAAACAAATGATGCACCATGCTAGCATGTCAGTAATTTTTTATTTTCTGAGATATAACATACTGGCTAGTCTTTAAATGGGAGAAGGTTAAGGACTATTATCTATAATGTGTATATGATACAATCCTAATAAAACAGGGAGTAACTTAGTTTTTTTGCATAGGTAAGAAGGGAAGGCAGCTCTCTTTACAATGAGATGAAAGAGAAGATAGTTCATGATTTAAGTGTGAGAGGAAGTTTTCAGAAACAAGCTATTGAAACTGGTAAGAATAACAAGTTGGCAGAGCAACTGTGTGTGGGCTATCTGATTTGCAGCCTTTATTTTGCACATAATTGAATAGCATAATTATTTGAATAGCATAATTATTTGGCAACCAAAACTAAAACCTGCAGGGGAAGGCAGAATGGATTGCTTAGTTATGTTCATGCTTCTAGAAGAAGCAACATTCTAAAAGAATGATAATTTCATGGAAAGTACAAAACCATTTACCTCAAACTTAATAAGAATGGGGGCCGAGCCCGTGGCGCACTTGGGAGAGCCCGTGGCGCACTTGGTGCTGCTGGTCTAAAAATAAGAAGAAGAAGAAGAAAGGAATAGAATTAAGAAAAATCGATCATGTCTACTGCAAATATTGTCAAGGTTTTAAATTACAAGTCCTTAAGCAACCCTCCTGGGTCACTAGAATAGTCAATTACTGTTTGCTGTGTGCCCTTATTCATTCATCCATGATGCCTTTTTAGGAACCCATCCCCGTGTATACACCTGATACCTAGGTGACTCTGAGCTTTGACACCACCCTAGTAGAATAGACAAGGGCTGAGCACCTAATCGAAGGGCAGCCTCCTTGTAGGCTGAGACTGATTTGCACAAAAATCAGTTTGGCCATCAAATTCTATGTAGGTAAATCTAAAGGAGGGAGCAGCAACTAAGAAAATAGAGAAAGCAGCCTGTAGGGTAGAGAGAAGACTGAAATAGATTACAGCAAGAAGCATAGATGTGATGAGAGAGATCCTGTGTATTCCAGAGAAGTGACACAGGATATAGTAACTACCGCCTAGAGCAGCTGCCACCTTTCTCCTTCCAAGCCCTATGCATCCTTGCAGTGAACTCCCTTTACCTTCAGGTAATTTGAGTTACTAGCCCTTGCAGTCAAAGATCAAACTGGAACATGTGTCAATATACTTTTAACATTTAAAGGAGACAGCTCAAAACATATCAAAAGATTACAGGTAAACCATTCCAAATTAAATCAGATTGGTTTTGTATTTGTCACAGTGTCCTCTCCAAGTGGAACTTGGTTATATTAATTCACTTGCTCCTAACCAATCTTTCAAGGAAAGTAGGGGACTCTCATTAGGAGTGGTTCTAACCTGGCTACATATTAAAATCACCTGGGAAGCTGTTAAAACTTCTTGCCTGGCAATCACCCCCAACGTTTCCAATGATAGTTTTTGACACCTGTCACCCCGATTCCAAGGTGTAATCAGGGATAACAATTTACGGCACTTTAGTCTGGACTCAGAAGTGAGAACTGAATTTCTTTTTTTTTTTTTTTTTGTCTTTTTCCGTGTCCGGCAACGGTTTGCAACCCGCAGTGTTGCCCCCGTACCGGACCGGGACCGGCAACGGGATCGCAACCCTCGGTGTTGCCCCCGCGCCTCGCTCAGCCAGTGAGCGGGAACCGGTCTGTATGTAGGATCCGAACCCTCGACGGGAGCGCCACCGCCGTGCGCCACCGGGCCGGCCCAGAACTGAATTTCTGTGTGAATCTTAACAGTTCCAGTTGATTCAGAATGTTAAGGTGTTTTTCTCCTAAAATGAATCTTCACCTGAGAACTTTTTTTGTCTTTTTTTTTTTAAGGAAAAATACTTAACTTTAATGTGCTAGTTAGTAAATGAAAGTGCACTCAACCTTCAGTACTTTAGGAGTAACTACCTCATGTGGTCTTAGAAGTAGTGTTTGAAAGCACTAATTCTACCCTGTTTTGTTCTCGTTTAAACAAGTTTTATAGGCTACAGGTAGGGGACTTGTTAGCTTCATTTTATTTAAGGCATGCATCATTTATGACGTTTGAAACATTTTTACTAATGAGCAGTTAAGAGTCACATGCCTTTATTTTTTTTCAAGATCGGGCACAGTAACTATTTCTATTCGTGTAGTTAGCTATTTTACTGCTACAGGTTGAAAAAAGCATGGTTTTCTTGAAGCAGCAACTAGTCTAGCGCCGCGACAGTCCTGGCCCCCACTGCTTGGGGAAAGTGCTTTTCCTCTCTGGAACACAGACTGAATGAAATAAGACGCTCTGAGCGCTCCCTGAACTTAGGAACTACGACACGGAGCCGAGCCCTCAAGGGAACGGCTCGTCCCCTGCCTTCTGTTTTTTCAGACCTGAAGTCTCGCTCTTCTCACCGCCGACGTGCAGCGGCCACTCGGATAAAGAGATGACTCTCAAAAGCCAAACCGAGTCTGTGCCATTCAGTGAGACGCGGCTGTCCAGATGGTGGGCATGACTTTAACAGCCATAAGAGGGAAGGGGAATAAACTTTATGTAACTACAAAGATGATGGAATATTTAAATTTAAAAACCGGGGGGGAGGGGAAGGTTTTGCATGCAGTTGTTTCCAGGAAGGCTTTTCCTTTCCCTTCACTTGACTGACTCCGCGCCTTCCCTTCCTCGGTTTCCTCTCGCGTCTCCAGCCCTGGCCTCGGCACCCCCGCGGCTGACCCTGGCGGCGCTTCTCGCCTTTCCGTACGGCAACATGGCGCCACCCAGCGTGGGGCGGGCGAGTCCCAGCTCTGAGCCACTGACCGCTAAGCCCCCTCGGCGGCCAGCTGGCCGCGCCTCCGTCTTTCCGTACGGAAGTATGGCTCCACCCAGCTCTGAGCCACCCCTTAGTGAGCCCCCTCGGCAAGCAGGGGACAGAGCCGCCCACTTTTCCGTACGAAAACATGGCGCCGCCCTGCGTTGGGCAGGCGCCTCCCGTCTAGGAGCCGCCGGCCCCTTCCAGACGCTGAGGAGTCGCTGCTCTGGCCGCTGCCCACCGGAGCCGCGCAGGGAGGACCGCCTGCGGCGCGGCAAGGGATGCGGCCTCGGCGGGGCAGAGGCTGAGCCGGCCCTGCCCGCGGCGCACTGCTCCCGCCTCCTCCGCTGCGCCCGCCCCGCCTGACTCACGGCGGGAGCGGCAGGAGGGAGAACGCCGACTCCGCGGCAGGTGAGGGGAGCGGGCGCGCAGGCCGGCGGGGCCCCCACGGGAGGCGCGAGGTCGGACTCACAGGCATGTCTTCGCCTTTTCTCACCGGGTCGGGTCCCGGTGATGTCGGGAGGAAGAGGCAAGCGCCGCGGGCGGGTTGAGGCCCACCCCTCGAGGCCGCCCTCCGGGCGCGACCCGCTGCCATCGCTTGTCCCCGGCTCTGCCACTCCCTCGCCGGCCCGAACAGTTGTTTACAACGGAATCTGGACGCCGGGAGGCAGTGGCACTGAGTGCCAGAGGAGGTGATTCCCGGCGCCGGAGGCCAGAAGGACTCCTTGTGTTGGGAAGTCGCCTGTGCCCAGTTTAAGCCCGCGTGCAGCTCCGACAGGTGACGGTCCTCACGGCAAGTGCGAGAATCGTCCCCGCCTCGGTTCCCTGTTAGGCGTCGTAGGGGTTGATGATTGTTGAATGAATGAGCGCGCTGTAAGCGATTACATGGCTCCTGGCTGCACCCTGTGGCCCTTTAATTACAGCTACCGTTGGTGGAAAAGCCTGTTGTGTGCCAGCCTCTGTTATGCACAATCTCTCGTTTAATCTTCCCCCAAACCGAGGAGGTAGATGGCTCCATTTTACAGACGAGGAAACTGAACTTACAAGCTGGTGAAGAGCCAGAACTGGGCCCCAGTATGTCGGACCAACGCCCAGCCCTCCCGAATACACTGATGTCATAGCGATGACACAGGAATTCATCTCTGTCAACAGCTATTTAGCGGGCGTCTGTGTTGGGGACATACTGCTACGTATGGAGCCAGGTTGGGCCTGGCACTTCACAAGTTCAAACTCTAGGTGAAGAGTTTTAAAAAAATAAAAACTAGCACTTTTACCATCTGGCCTCAACCCATCTTTCCATCTTCCTCACCTGCCACTCAGTCTTCTCATTTTCGCGTGCCTTGGCTTGTGCCCTCTGTGTGAAATGCTCCCCCTTTCTCTTTCTCCCCAGTCCAGACATTTTTTTAAGTTGGATGAAATCCTACTCCTTTCAAAGATCAGATCAAATGTCATCTTTTCTGGGAGGGTTTTCCTAGCCTCCTCCTAGGCAGATTTAGTCTCCCTCTCCCGGTATTCCCTGAGCACTTTCATAATGCCACTAATGATAAATTTCGTTAATGTTCCTTGTAAACGTGTTTGTCTTCCCCTCGAGATTATGTATTTTCATCTTTCGATTCCTAATAAATAAGCATATTTTGAATTGAATTTAGACAGTGACGAATGCCAAATGTCTAGTAACCAGCCCTATAGGAGTTCAGAGAAAAGTGCAAACACTGGTTGCATGGGCAGGGAAGTGTTCTGGAAGGTGGTGAGACTTGAGCTGAATTTCAAAAGGATGGGGTTAGTTTACTAAGCTGAGCCCTAGAGACCAGAAATCCTCCCTTTCCTCCTCACGGCACAGAATGAATTACTTCATCTTTTCTGGCTCCTTCTCAGCATGTGAAGAGGATAAAATTAGAAGTATTTTTGTCCTTTACATAGAATATGCTGGTAATGTTATCCTTTGAATCTTGAAGCATTTCAAACCCTAAGAGGATTCAGGACAGAGAGGAGCTGGGTGGCTGGAGTGGGGTGTTGAAAGGTAAAGTAGGATTAGAAAGAAGAAATACATTAAAACAACCTTCATATTAATAACACAGGCCTAAAAATTTCAATTCCAGTAACTTTATTCTGTTGAATGGAGGTCTCTGAAATTTCAGATATTTATATTAAGTGAAAGAAACACTGGCCAGTTAGCTCAGCTGGTTAGAGCTGCAGCCTTATAACACCAAGGTCAAGGGCTGGGATCCCCATACCAACCAGCCCCCCCCCCCAACAAATTCATCTCCTCTCCCTAATGTGTAGAAGACGGTCTGCCAAACCTCCCTAAATACAGTTGACATTTTTTTTGATCCCGTCATTACCTTCCACCTTCCATATGTTTAATAAAGTCTAGTGTTTAGGAAAAGGTTTTGTAATCTTCAAGTGCAAATGGTATAAATGTTAATTATTTTCAGTAAATGCAGAAACATTGTGTCTTTCTTCTCCCTTAATTAGAAACACCCCAGGAATATAGAACCCTAAGGGAGAAAAATCTTGATAAAAACTTTTAGTGTAATTAAAAGAGACCTTTATTGACTGGCCAAAACCAAAATGTCAAGTTTTATTTCTATTCTGATACTAACTAATAAAATGAAAACCCCACCTACCCTCATACATTATGATTCTTTGCAACTTCCTACTTTACTTACTATCTTTTCCTACTGACTGGCAAGGAGGTAGTAAAAATATTTGCCCCACACGTTCCTCTTAAACACTTCATCTGTCATCTATCAGGGAATCAACTCCTCAGCCCAGTGTATTCACTTGGAAGCCTGATTAAAAGCATAATTTCCAAGATGTTTTCCTATCAGCTCTTAGGAGTGAAAGTAAAGAATTTAAGATAGAATTAGTCTCTTTCATTAAAATAGAAGCAGGCAGTTTATAGTGTTGTCTTCTAATAGTTTAAGGCCCTGTGTCCTTGTGACATGGTACTCAGGAGTGCAACAAAAATATTCCAACTTATTACTATCTGAGGTTCATAAATTTGGTAAATTACAAGTGTCATTTTACAAGTATCTGTTTAATGATTGAAGGAGAATATTATAGCTGGGTAACATCTTAGCAAGCCCATTTATTTTATACAGAAGAAAACAAACCCAAAGAGATTAAATGATTTGCCCAGAGTCACACTGCTAGTAGTGAGTGACAGAGCTAGAATACTTTTGATTAATTTTTTTTTTCTTTCCTAGGAAAGTAAATAAACTTAATTGAGAATGTCTGAAAACCTTGACAAATCCAATATAAACGAAGCAGGAAAATCAAAATCAAATGATTCTGAGCAAAACCTTGAAGATGCTGTGGAAGGTTCTGATGAAGCTTTACAGGAAAAAACAAAGTTGGGCTCTCCCAGCCCCCAAAGAGTGCAAAGACCTCACTGTAAGCAAATTTGACTTTGATTAGAAGCAATATTATCATTTTTCTAAGATGATATTTTTATTAGGCTTCCTTGTGAATGTGGCCCTGAGCTAGGTTCTAATATGATAACATTGCCAATAATTAGCACTTAAGAATAGCAGCAATGTCTCAACTGGCAGCCTAGTTATTTGTGGGTTTTCAATTGTATGAGAAATTAAAATTTTAGAATAGTATCCAGAATGTTCCTGTGTCTTTCCGCAGCCTCAGTGGCATTCCAGTTTCTCTGAAGTGCTCTGAGAAATAGGAGGGTGGGGTCCAAATTACAGTTTTAATTGAAAGAGTGTTTGAAAAGTTTGAGGCTAGTTCCAGCCAGGACTGTGCTTGTACAGGTTTTTTAAAAAAAGTGAGTTCACCACACCCTAACTCCATTGCCTGGGGGCTTAGTTCCCACGAGGATGAGGGGTTTCAGTTTGCTGAATGTGTATGGTGAAGTCATTTCAGATTTCTGGCAAGGAGCAAGCTTCCTAGATGAAATGGGTGGCGACTTTTACACATATTCCTAGCAGTTGCCCCAACCCATGTCTTTTATTAAGAATACTTAAGCTTTTTGAAGTAAATCCAAAAATAAAAGTTTTAAGAGGAAGTGTCATAGTCTAAGAATGTCAGTGTTGATGTTATCTCTTTAAAGTGTAGGTGATCAGTAATTCTACATATTTGGAAGAAGTACAGACATTTTGGGGTTTTGAGGAATGTTTCTTCTAAAATGATCAAAGCCCTTCCAAGGTAATTTATTAGACAACCTTATATTCTTATAGCAGACACTAGTGGACCCCATTTTATATGGTTTATTATCACATAGATTTTGATGAGTAAACTACTAGGTCAAACTGTGTCCAGGGAAACATGCTGTTAATAGCACAGTCTGTCGTGCATGAATTAGACCTTGTGTCCAATATGTATAGTTAGAAAGCTTCTATTTTTCCATTTCTAAAATGAAGAAAATACACCTATCTCTTAGGGTGGTTGTAAAGATTAAATGAATTCATGTAAAGCACTTAGTGCTTGGCACATAATAAATGCTCAATGGACTGTTGTTACTATTGTTGCTAACAGTTATATGTTGCTTTTAAAGATGCAGGATTGATTGCTGTGGTGTGGATGTATATGGCTGACATGATAGTTTCATTACCCACAGTTTCTGATAAAGGGGGACTTTTGGTTTAGGTCTTCAGTTATTTTTTGATTGATGGCCTGCCTTTGACATCCTGTCAGTCTGATGGCATGAATCCAAATTAGTGTCAAACCAGTACTAGCCTACATCATCTGAAGTTATGTGTAGTTATGTGTTAAGGCAAGAGTACTTATCTTGGAACCTGTGATCAAGTTTTAGGGAATCCAGGGACAGCCAAGAAAGTACACCAACACTTGTATGTATATGCATTTTTCTAGGAAGAAAGTCATGGGAGCTTTCACTAAATTATCATAGAGGTTCATACCAAAATAAGATTTAAAATTGATGCCCTAAGATATTCTTTTTGGCATCCTTGCTATTTCTCCTTGTAGTAATAGGTACAGGGCTGTGAACCCAAAAGGTGAAGCTAAGAGCCTATCATTTGGGGACCAGGTGAGGAGGCATCATTGCCCAAATAGAGCATAAATAAGAATTTATGAAATATAAAATTAACCATCTGCAGACATTTCTCTCAAATTGTGTAAATGTGTAGCTGCCAAGTTTTTAGTAACTCTAAAATCATATGTGGAATTCTACAAGTTAAAGTGTGAATAGCAAAAAGATAATGTTTATTCTTGCAAATTACAACACAGAGTAATATCGTAAGGGTGGAATTGTTATTGATAACTGATAAAGAATACTGAAAAAGGAAAAATGGCTGGCTTGTAGGAACTGGTTGACACTAATCTGAGGCAGGATTTGATCCTAAAAGATGATCTGTTCTTTAAACATAGAGATCGTTGGAGTAAGGATCAGTCAGCTGTAACATAATGTTTGCTCTAAGATCCTCTACTTCCATATACTTTAATTCTTTACTCACAAAGCACCTTCTGCTCTAGCATTTAATCACCTCGTTGACCAGTAAAAGATGCCATATTCAGATGATAAAGATCAATTGTTATTCCAGTTAATATTTCCCATTTAGTATTTTGGTTTATTAAATACAGTTCTTGTGAGTTTAATTAGTAGATCCCAGTCATCTTTAGGTGAATGGATGACACTGAGTTCTTACATTTCCAAAGCTCACAACTAGACTTTGGATCATGGTGTCTGTATATTCAGTCAATCTAATATTTATTGAGTGCATACTGTGTATCAGGGATCCTTTAGTGAACCAGGTACATATGGTCTTTGTCCCCATGGACAGTCTAGTGAGGAAAGCAAATTCACAAGTAATTTCTATCAGGTGTAATAAGTTCTACGGATAACCTTTACCCCTGCTTTACTATACTCACTCTACAGTTGCCATCTGCCCTCATACATGTCCATTCATTTATATGACTAGAAGCATCTCTTTAGAGTGTGTAGACTTCTCAGATCCCAGGGCGCCTTAGTAAAGAAAGGTAGAGAGTACAACCATTCTAAATTAGAACTTTATTTATTTTGGGCCGGCCCGTGGCTCACTCGGGTGAGTGCGGTGCTGATAACACCAAGGCCCCGGGTTCGGATCCCACATAGGGATGGCCGGTTCGCTCACTGGCTGAGCATGGTGCTGACAACACCAAGCCAAGGGTTAAGATCCCCTTACCGGTCATCTTTTAAAAAAAAAAAAAACTTTATTTATTTTGGAATCTGTCTGCCAGCCTCCTAAAGGGCATTTTTAACTTAATGTGGTTTTCAGTTCCTCTAACAGGGTTTTAGTTATAAAAATGATGTAACAGAATTTAGCAAGAGCTTTAGCTTTATATCACATAATAATATAAACTCCAGGTAAGATATATGTAACCTTACCATTTTTCATGACTCTTATTATAACTCAGGTTCTCTTCACAGGCGGAGGTGAAGCCCATTTGTCCACCAAATTGCATCTTTATAAGTTCTCATTAATGGGCCGGCCTGTGACTCACTCAGGAGAGTGTGGTGCTGATAACACCAAGGCCACGGGTTCAGATCCCTATATAGGGATGGCCAGTTCGCTCACTTGGGAGAGCGCAGTGCTGACAACATCAAGCTAAGGGTTAAGATCCCCTTACCGGTCATCTTTAAAAAAAAAAAGTTCTCATTAATGAAATTGGTAAATTTGAGAACTCTCAACAAACAAACCCACAACCCTATAATTTGTATGCAATGAATAATTCCTTTGTATGTAGAGCTGTAACATATCCTGATCATATCTTAGAATTGTAACTTTTCACTTTCTTGATCAGTACCCTACATTAATAAGTCTGATTTTAAGTAGTTTCTAACTTGGACAGCTCCTGAAAACTTTATTCTTCCTGGTTGTCTAATACTGTCAGCATTTGGTACAAGCTGTTCTGTCCCAAGTATGCCCAAAACACTGAGAACATTCCTGCCTGGAATTTGGAAGATTCTCATCTTTCAAAGAACATCCTTTAGTCTTATTATCTTCTTTTTGCATATGGGGAAACGTATGACTTGCTCAAGGTTTAGATGACTTGTTCAAGGTCATACTCAACAGAGCCTAGAGGAAGCCAAATTTCTTCCTGATTTGCTTTGTTTACTGTGTTTCATAACTAGGCGGTATACTAACATTATCTGTCATTACCCAGATGCCAAAAAATTGTTGAAAAATAGCAAATTTACTAAGAGAACGTGGTGTGTTTTTGTTATTTTCATAAATTTAAGTTAAGACTTTGATTATTTCTGCAAAACTAAGATTTAAAAAAGCCCTGATGGCAGTCTCTGAATTCCTTTTTAAAAGATAAGAACTTGGTGGAGTTTAATACCTCCCAATGCTTCATATTGATATACCCACTGTGGAAGTTCCATTTTTTCATTACTGGTAATAGAAAATACGAGCTTGAAGAAATTCAATAATCAGTATATATACTATAGCAAATCCCTACTGAGTTCCTTAGAACTTTAAAATCAATTTTATTGAGGTATAATTTATATATAATAAAATAAACCAATTTTAAGTATACAACTGATAACTTTTAACAAATACATTTACAGTTGTGTGACTACCACCACAATTATGAGTTGCCAGAACATTGCCATCACCCCCAAAGTCCCTTGTACCCCTTGTCAGTGAATTTTTCCCCCTACCCTTAGCAACTACTGATATGCTGTCACTATAATCTTGCCCTTTGTATAATTTCAAATAAATGGAATCATACTTAACATCGTCTTTTGTATCTGACTTTCACTTGGGATAATGCTTTTGAGATTCATCCATATTTTTGCATTTATCAGTAGTTCTTTTTTGTTGCTGAGTAGTATTTCATTGTATGGTTATACTACAATTTGTTTATCCATTCTGCAGTTGATAGACATTTGGGTTAGCTTCAGGTTTTGGCTGTTATGAATAAAGCTTCTATTAACATTTGAGTATAAATCTTCGCATGGCCATATATTTTCAGTTTTCTCAGATAAAGACCTAGGAGTGGGGTTGCTGGGTCATGTGGTAAGTACATGTTTTACTTTATAAGAAACCACCAGACTAGTTTCCAAAAGTGATTGTATCATTTTATATTCCCACCACCCATGTATGAAAGTTCCAGATACTCCATATCTGTGCCAACACAGTCTTTTTAATTTTGGCCATTCTAGTGGATATGTAGTGGTATCTCACTGTGGCTTTAATTCATTTCCCTAATGATTAATGATGTTAAAGATCTTTTCATGCACTTACTGGCCACTTATATATCTTCTTTGGAGAAATGTTTGTTCAAATCTTTTGCCTGTTTTTTATTGGTTTTGTTTATCTTCTGTTATTGAGTTGTAAGAGTTCTTTACATATTCTGGATACAGGTCCTTTATCAGATATATGTTTTGCAATTATTTTCTCCTATTCTGTGGCATGCCTTTTCATTTCCCTAATAGAGTCTTTCAAAAATAAAAAGTTCTAAATTTTGAAAAAGTTCAAATTATCATTCTTTTACATATAGATATATAGTTGTTCTAGCACTATTTGATAAAAAAAAAACTATCCTTGCCTTATTGACCATATATGTATACATATGTACATATTTGTGTGTATCTGTGTGTTTGTGTTTGTATATATACACATACACATTTACATATACATATTTATACACATGTACATATACATATATATATATCAGTCTATTTCTGGATTCTCTGCACTGTTCAATTGATATGTGTATCTATTCGTATGTCAAAAACACACCATCTTGACTATTATAGTTTTGTTGTGAGTCTTGAAATCAATTAGTGTAAATCCTCCAACTTTATTCTTCTTTTTCAAAATAGTTTTGGCTTTTGTAGGTCTTTTGCATTTCCATTTAAATTTTAGAATCAGTTTGGCAATTTCAACAAAAAAGCCTGCTGGGATTTTGATAGGGATTGTGTTTAATCAATAGATTGATTTGGGGGTAATTAACATGTGAATGGTATTGAGAATTGAAAAGATATATCTAGGCTTTGCCTTGATTTTGTATATTTATTATATTTTACCAATATCCATAAAGCCAGTTTTATTCATTCATTCATTCATTCTGTATTCTTATTAGTATTCTCTGGAATTGCTGAGAAGAATAATTTTGTGAGGAAGGATTTTGAGTGTTTTCCCAACTTCCCCTTATATGACCAAATAAAGATTTTTACCAGACAGGATATGACCAGCTCTTGGATTTGGTTCCCTTTTCTTTTTTTTTTTTTTTTTTTGGTGGGAAAAAGGGTAAAAGAAGGGAAATGACTAACCTAAGATCTTTATAACTATTAACCCCTGTGCAAA